CGAACACCTTAATAATCGATTCTTTACCATAGGTTTAAATGGCGTAACAATCAATGTATCGCGATTCACGCCACGCCACTGAAAGCCTCCCCCCNCCTCCCGCCGACTCACCCGGGATCCGCCACTGCTTTTAGGTTCAGCTCCATTTTCCCCCATCCTCTTCTAGGATTTTAATATAATGACAGTCCGAATGTGTAGATTCAAAATGGTCACTAATTTCCATCTCTTTACTTCCGGTGGAGAATCACATTTGCCACTCCCTGATGTCTTCGGACAATAAATAGTGCCTATAGATGGCTGTAGATTCCTAAAGGAATAGAGGCCACTAAACTCTCAATAAAAAAAAAAAAAAAAAAAAAAAAAAAAAAAAAAAAAAAAAAAAAAAAAAAAAAAAAAAAANGCATTTCCGTTCCGCAGTGATGCTAGATAGCAATCGCGCCAAAAGACTGATACTGATGGATAGTATTTTCCTTTCCCTACGATCTTTCCGTTTGAGTTCGGATCCACAGGTTCGCGGCGCGCGGGCGGCGCACAGTGGATCGAGTCAATGCGAGAGGCCGGGCATGAAAATTTTGACTAAAACTGCAAATTTTGGCGTTTATTTTGTCACATTCTCAGGGGTGTTCCCAGGTGAAAATTTCGCAAGAAAACCAATGGAGCCATTTTTGGAACATCGAAGTTTGTAAAATCGGAGTTGTAAGCGTTAAAAGTTTCCAAATTTTGTTCGACCTCTTCTCTGCCGTGACAGCGAAGAGAGCCGTAAGTGCAAAATTTTCGAAATCGAGTTTTCTTCAAAATTTCTTAACTCTTTTAGATGAAATTACTGAGACAGCTAAAACAGCAAAATTCATCCTAATTTAATGAAAACGAGACGTATGAGAAAGCCGTAAGTGCACAAAAAATGACTTGTTGTTAGTTTTTTTCAAGACAGCCGCAGGTGCATGAGAGCCAATGAAAACAGTGCTTTCCAGTAAAGTGCCGCCCTCTTCTGCCAATCTCTAGCCTGAAAATGTGTTTGTTGTGCGTCCAAAACGCAACCACGAAAGCATGTAGAAGATACCACTTACCGCTGTCTTGCCTAACAATAACCTAACACGAAACTGAATTTTACCTTTTTCATGTACTTTAAAATAAAATCGGTCGAGTTTTAATCCCCCAAATGATTTCTAGGAGTCTTCCGGACGAATAGTGGCAATTAGACAAAGAATGGAGGCTTCTTTCAATAAAATGTTCCACTTAGAAGCTTCTGAGCCCGTTTTCTCAGAACTTCATTTTTGTACTTACGGCTTTCTTCGCTATCACGGCAGTTCTGTTGACTCGATCCAGTGTGCGGCGCGGGCGTTGCCGCGGGCGCGCGAGAGGCGCGGACTGGCGTGGCGCGCGCGACGTCACAGCAGCGCCCAGCATCATAATGGGTCAATCGCGGTGACGTCAGCGTGACGTCGGCGGTGCAACGTCAACGCGCCAGCCGCGGCCGCGCCGTCAGCAACTGTTCACGTGAACACCGGGCTGCCTAGCACGTGGACACCGGCTGTTCACTCCTCGAGCGGCTTTCAGCCGCGTTGCCGCATTTACCCATGAATCCAATATTTTTTTTTAGAATTTTTCGAACGTATGAAGTTTTATAGTTTTGGATGCCACCTGGTGAGTGCTATCACGTACTGTTGAGATTATGCACCTGTAATCTCATGTAACGGGAATCGAGTGGCTTGAGAATAAGAATTCTTGTTACGGGAATACGAAGAAAATGAAGGCAAAATGTCCTGTTAAAAAGTTCAAGAAATGAGAGAACATGTAACTGATAATTTTACCTTGGTCCCTTATTTAAAATTATCAGTTACAATAATGCATCCCGGTAAAAACAGCTTCAACTTCGAGAGCACATATGTCTTTTTACAGCAAAGGTCATCATACAAAATCGTAGCAATGCCATCACGGTTATACCAGGTTTTGAATTTACATTCTTCNAAAATTTTCGAAATCGAGTTTTCTTCAAAATTCGTCTGAACTCTCATAGATGAAATTACTGAGACAGCTAAAACAGCAAAATTAATCCTAATTTAATGAAAACGAGACGTATGAGAAAGCCGTAAGTGCACAAAAAATGACTTATTGTTAGTTTTTTTCAAGACAGCAGCAGGTGCATGAGAGCCAATGAAAACAGTGCTTTCCAGTAAAGTGCCGCCCTCTCCTGCCAATTTCTAACCTGAAAATGTGTTTGTTGTGCGTCCAAAACGCAACCGCACGAAAGCATGCAGAAGATAGCACTTACGGCTGTCTTGCCTAACAATAACCTAAAACGAAACTGAATTTTACCTTTTTCAAGTACTTTAAAATAAAATCGGTCGAGGTTTAATCCCCCAAATGATTTCTAGGAGTCTTCCGGACGAATAGTGGCAATTAGACAAAGAACGGAGGCTTCTTTCAATAAAATGTTCCACTTAGAAGCTTCTGAGCCCGTTTTCTCAGAACTTCATTTTTGTACTTACGGCTCTCTTCGCTATCACGGCAGTTCTGTTGACTAGATCCAGTGTGCGGCGCGGGCGTTGCCGCGGGCGCGCGAGAGGCGCGGGCTGGCGTGGCGCGCGCGACGTCACAGCAGCGCCCAGCATCATAATGGGTCAATCGCGGTGACGTCAGCGTGACGTCGGCGGTGCAACGTCAACGCGCCAGCCGCGGCCGCGCCGTCAGCAACTGTTCACGTGAACACCGGGCTGCCTAGCACGTGGACACCGGCTGTTCACTCCTCGAGCGGCTTTCAGCCGCGTTGCCGCATTTACCCATGAATCCAATATTTTTTTTTAGAATTTTTCGAACGTATGAAGTTTTATAGTTTTGGATGCCACCTGGTGAGTGCTATCACGTACTGTTGAGATTATGCACCTGTAATCTCATGTAACGGGAATCGAGTGGCTTGAGAATAAGAATTCTTGTTACGGGAATACGAAGAAAATGAAGGCAAAATGTCCTGTTAAAAAGTTCAAGAAATGAGAGAACATGTAACTGATAATTTTACCTTGGTCCCTTATTTAAAATTATCAGTTACAATAATGCATCCCGGTAAAAACAGCTTCAACTTCGAGAGCACATATGTCTTTTTACAGCAAAGGTCATCATACAAAATCGTAGCAATGCCATGACGGTTATACCAGGTTTTGAATTTACATTCTTCATTACATTAATGTGACTTAATATGCCACATGTAAAATAGAAAAGCTAGGTATTGGAGACTTCGAAAAAAATTGAGTCTAGCTTCAAAGAACCTACTACTGTAATCCCGCTTGGACGTCGTAAATGCAAAGTTAAGAGCACAATGATGCCAATTGAGCTGAAGAGACCGCAAAAAATTGCACAAAATTTTAGTGAAAAGATACAGGAAAATGTATTATTACTGAGAAAAATAAAATTGATCATGATGGACTATGGCTGTAAAGCTCTCATAGTACCTCATATCGGTCCTACTCCTTGATTCATGTCTTTCAGTTTACAAACCCGTGCTTTCAGTTTTGGAAACCATTTCTGAATCCATAAAATTGAGCTCCTCTTCTCAATTTTGCCCATAGGCCTAGTTGAAATTTGTTCAGGAATTCTGATTGTAGACATAGTCGGTCGGTAAAAATTGATGAATATCACCTTTTTCACTGAATTTCTCAAGCACAGCCTTTTCGGAGAGGGGGAGAGTTGTGATAATGACAAGGTCGGAAGGCCGATTTTGAAGGTTCGCGGTCGAATGCCAAAAAATCCGCATTTTTCGTCAAAATCGGCCTTCAACCTGTCAATATTAGATCTGAAGACCAAACGCAAGATCTCATGACGTATCCTATGAAGAATGGACCCTCAATGAAAAAAATCGTATAGTTGAAGAAATTCAGCTAGGGGGGCCCAAAAATGGCCCTTATCGATACCCTTTCACTAACAAAATTTTACGAAATTTATTTCATGAAATGTTTTATTTCCGTGGGTCATACTACCACAATTCAGGTCTTGATCGACAATCAGTGCTCCCATTATCCGCAACTAGTGCCAAATTCCAGAACTTTCGAGATTATTTCCTGAATTTTTCTCGGAACTTTTGAAATCCCCGAAATGTTCCAAATCCTTTGCATTTTCCGGAACTTCCTCGGAGCTTTTGAAAAAATCAGAGAAGAATCCCGGAACTTTCCACAGTCATAGAGTGGGAAAAATAAAAACAAAAAAGTTCCGAATCCCATTGCCAAGGAATTCAGTGCCCATTGCTCCCATTTCCCGGAACTAGTGCCAAATTCTGAAATTTTTGAGATTTTCCTGAATTTTTTCCGGGACTTTTGAAATTCCCGAAATGTTCTAAATCTTTTGCATTTTCCGGAACTTTTGAAGATATCTAAGGAGAATCCCGGAGTGGGAGAAATAAAAACCAAAAAGTTCCGGATCCCATTTCCCAGGAACCCAGCGCCAGTGCTCCCATTTCCCGGAACTAATGCCGAATTCCGGAACTTTTGAGATTTTCCTGAGTTTTTCCCGGAACTTTTGAGATTTTCCTGAGTTTTTCCCGGAACTTTTGAAATCCCCGAAATGTTCCAAATCCTTTGCATTTTCCGGAACTTCCTCGGAACTTTTGAAAAAATCAGAGGAGAATCCCGGAACTTTTGATGGACATGGAATGGGAGCAACGCGGTTCTTTAACTTTTACAATACCTGCTTTTACAATGCCTTTCTTTAACTTTTACAATGTCTGAACTATTTTAATTATATTTCAATGACGGCAAGATGTTTTTCGAGAATCCCTAAACGAAGGATCTCGATCTTTAAAAATCAACTATATTATTAGATCTGGAATCATTTTTTTCATTGTTTAAGAAGTTTGATTATTTATTTCATTCTTTTGAATGTATTTTTACTAAAGGTTAAGCCCAGATTTATAGGTCCGCTATGCGGAATTTCCTTGGCGAAGCGGCAACGCTGGTTGGCGCCGAGCTTGGTGGGAGCACGGTCGCGGCGCTGAGCTCCGGGCTTTAGTGCTGGTCCCAGTGTAAACGCTACCGACTCGCAAACCCTTTCGCTCCTCCACCTCCAGTTGTCCCCGTGGATCCCCCGTTGCGGTCGTCGCCCGTGCCCCGTGCCCGTCCCCTAGCACCCCGGACGCGCGAGTGAAATGTGAGCGGACCCCCTGTGCGTCATCTTCGCGCCCGCCGGGACACGAGTGAGTTTCCTCCGTCAATATTTGATCGTCGTGCCTTTGTTTACCTTCCTCGGCTTGACCGATTGTTTGCATCGCGCGCCGCGATTCCCCTTTTCGGCCCCGCGTGTAGTGCCAAATTCCTTGTGTAAACGTTGTGCGCGACAGTTTTGTGTGCTCTCGTCATACGCCCGTTCAGGATAACTATGCAATAGGTGAGTTGCGGCATTCGTAATCGAATCTTGAGAGTGGTCCCGGTGTCGGGCCGCGGGCTGATTATTGAAATTGATGGACATAGCTGTCGATAGAGAAGACCCAGGGCAAATGAAGCGATTCTATCGGTGGAAGTTGATGGTTGCAATGGACAAAGGTTGTTGGCCTTCTGTGGTATAGTGTTTGTAGCGCTGGCTCTGTAATCAGGAGGTCCTGGGTTCGATTCTCGGCTAGGCGACCCGAGTTTGACGGTCTCAAACAACGGCTGCCTCGCATTGGTACATAGTAGGGATGGAGGGGTGGGGCTCTGAAGGGAAGCGCAGGATTACCACTTGTGTGGTATTGGAAGTATTGAAAAAAAGGAGGTAAGTGATAGACTAACTAACAGCAACCCACAAAAGTCCCTACAGTTAGTCAATCATTTACCCACCTAGTCTGTAAAAACCACCGGTTCAACCAATGGGATCATCCCTTACTACCTGTATTTTTTGTCTATCGCTTTGTCTACCAATTTCAATAATCAGTCCGCTGGCTCGAAAATTTTTGGGTTGCTGATGCTTTTTTGAGGCCTCTGCTCTTAGGTCCCCCCCCCCAACTGATCCGTAGTCCACTTTTATGTGGGGTTTTCAAATTTCGGGGGCCCCTACAGGATTTCTGCCGAGCCGGGGCTCCCTGAGCCATTCAATTGAAAATCTGGAATGCTGAAGCATCATAGCATCCATGATCAAATCGCTCCTGAGTGGTTCCAACTCCTTGAACCCCCAAAGGTCCTTCTCGAATTTGTCGCTTCCCGTACGAAAGAAGGCAACTCCACTCCAAGGCTACAAAATTGACGCAATTCACTTTTTTACAAGAATGTACCGGTGCATTTTTTGTCTAAAGCTTTTCTGATTTCGGCTGAGATAAGCAGAAAATTCAGCAAAATTTCCAGTTAAACATGGTCCGAATTCTCCTGGCAAAGCTGTAATTGGCGAGGGGAGATTTGGCAAGATTGAAATGTTGTTACGTTTTTTCGTGAGGAAAACAAGGGATTGTGCGCTGGAAGCATGGGACCACTCTTGAAGGGTCCAGGTGGACCTGACCCCCTTAGGTGTTGAAATAGTATAAGCTGACCACCTCCCCCCCCCTCGCTTCTTCTAAATATACTTCACAGAAAAGAGCGGTATACATACATATATCCTAGTTTTACTCTACTGCCGTGCTAAGGAAGAACGTCCTATGAACATTCGAGAGTTGCCAAATTTCCTTCGATAAAATGTTCATTTTTGAGGAAAGTTATGAATATTTTTCCTTTAAATTTTCAGAACCTTTAGGTGAGATCGCGAACGAAATTAGCCGAAATATTGGGAGGAAAATATTCTTAAGTTTACCAGGAAATTCGCGTTTAAATAAAGGGAATCTGGCAATGCCTGAAGATTCATGCGTCGTTTTTCCTTAGCACGGCAGTATATGATGGGATAGGAAAATAGAACAAGTTTGAGCTGTTTTTCGAGGATTATTGCGGTGGAGTTGAACCTCAAATTTGCCCACGGCTATTAGCTCGAGGAAAACCAAAATGCACCCTCAATCGGTTGATTTTCTAATATCCATATCTACAATAAAAAACATAATTTACAATAAAATAAGCTGTTTGTTAAAGCGGCAACACCGCCGGCAGACTTAACCGAGTTTTTCTCAATCGGTCGAAACCCGATATTGACCGTTTTCGAGATCAGACATTGATATCAGACTGCTCAGTATCGCTACTTTTACTAAGTATACTTTTTAAGCTGAATGATGAACATTGCAAATATTCTTGCATTTGGAAAATCCAAAGACTAACTTTAAACGAGCCAGGTATCGTGGAGATTTGTTCAACGATCTGCACGTGCCGCGAAATAGAATCATCTCCTCTCTTAATTATCCTCGATTAATTGAGATGTTTGGCTCTGTCTTCGAGTATTCGGAAAAATCCATCGTCCACAATTCAATAAGTCGGCTTCGCTGAGCAATGCCGGTTTCACGTTAGTACGAGCCATGCGCCACCGCCACGCGCTCGATGGCGGGCAACAGGCAAATGCACTGAAAAAAAAATATCGGTGTATTTACTAAGAAAAGGGTAAAATTACCAAGAATTCAGGGTTCTATTTGATCCCAGTTTTTTCTTGGTAAAATTACCATTTATGGAATTGGTAATTTTACCGAGAAATCTCGGCAAAATTATTGACTTTCTCGGTAATTTTACTGGACCTTGGTAAAAACGCCAATATTTTTTATCGACTGTGGTAGAATTACCGAGATAAAATGGCAAAGTTACCGGGAATTGATTACCAATAAAAGTGGTATACCTACCTGAAAAAAACAGTAAAAAACCCGGTTTTTAAGTAAGCTTACCAGTCTGTCTCGGTAAAATTACCAATAATTGGTATAAAAAAGTGAGATGGTAAAGGTACCAACGGACCTTCATAATAACGCCGAGAATTTTTTTTTTCAGTGTGCCATAGGGACGGGCCCCTAAAATCCTGACGTGGATTTGGGGGCGCGGGTACCGGGTAAACCCTTGTTCACATGTTCAGTTCAGGGGCCACGGTTCTCTCAGAGGCAATGTTCCCGAGTTGGACACTCAATATATGTAAATATTACAAGTTCTAATATGTTTTAATTCTCGAAGAAGTGAGGAGGGTTTCTCTTTTAACATCTCAAGCACATGTTTCAGACATTTATAATTCATCTTACGTAAACATCAAAACAAGGGGAGCGAAAACGTATTAAAAAAAGTACCACGTAAGAATTAGTTAACTTCAATGTTAATATGAAAACTTCAAATGGTTTGAATCTTTGAGTGCCTTACAATCTGTAGCCCGTCGACGAACTGTCAACCAGAGTAACCCGAAGGTGACCTACCAAAATTAGACCCCCCTCCCCCCCCAAAAAAAAAGAGGGCAACCCGAAAATAAGAAGTTTTCCTCTGCAACCTCTAGGATCAAAGTCTCAGCAGTTCCCCATACCGATACAAGGGAAGGGTCCTGCAGTCAGGATAACAGTGGCGTGGCGTGCTTTGCGATATATCGATTGTTATGCCATTTAAACCTATAGAAAAGGATCGATAAACAGGGTGTTTGCAGCGAACACCTTAATAATCGATTCTTTACCATAGGTTTAAATGGAATAACAATCGATACATCGCAATTCACGCCACGCCACTGCAGGATAACAATGAGGAGAACCGCCCTCATTTTTCCGTACCTGCAATATGGACATCCAATAATCGCGAATTACCTTCAGGCATTGAAAGCACCTCTTTAAAATAAATCTGTCACAGTTTTCGCTTTGCCCCTCTCCCCATCCCTCACCTTATATACAATGTTTCTAATGATTCCACAATTCTTCTTTTTTACTGCATGTCTGTCACGCGAGACATTTTACTGAGACAAAAGTTGCCCGGAGGACGAATGCAACGCGTCTAGTGAATCAGTGGTTTCGAGTTTTCGACAAAAAAACCACTTTAAAAAATTTTAATCACGGGGTGAGGCAAAAGTCTTGGGCCGGCTGAATGTCTTGTACTGCTGTACTTCGGAACCGCCCCTTGAGTGAAAAGAAACGATTTTCCGGGAAGTACGGTTGCAAAATTTTGGCTCCGCCCTATTGAAACTTCGGTTCCTCAAACTTTTTTCCATATTATCACCCTCTATTTTTAATGCATTGCGAAGGAACATTAAAAAAACATATATTAGTGCAAACCGGAAGCTGTCATCCATCGCACCGTTTTGAAATAGCGGTTGGTAAATTTCATTAAAATTCCAATTTTATCAGGTTGCTATTTTAGGTATTTTTTTTCAAATTTTCCCTCAAATGAGCATTTTGTCTTATTTTTTTATGATATAATACTTCATTACAGCGCCGAAATAATATAATTCTGCCCTAACCATGCTACCTCAAAACCAATTTATTTTCTGTCCCAATCAATGAGGACATCATTAGTGAAAATGAATTACGGAACATCTTTTGGAACCAACAGTTATTGGTTCCTTTTACGTGTCTAATATATTAACTCAAACAGCTATAAAATGAGTTTAAATTTTCAAATATTGATCGGCCGCCTGTATTCAGCGGTAATGGTTAAGATTCCCGCTTTGCGTTCAAGCAATTCTTTTGTAAGTTCTTTGCTTCAGAAAATCCTCATTCTGATAAAGGGACGTAGAATGGGTGCTATTTGACATAGCTGAAGCCCAAGACCCAAATTCCTGTTAAGGAGGGGACGCCAAAATTTCAATCCCTCTCACCCCCCCCCCCCCCTCTGCATTAATTATAAAACTCATTGATTAATTGATTTATTAATTCATGTACATGTTTTTTTAAAGGGCAAAGCACGGATTTTGCCATCTAGCTGAAACAATTCAAAATGTATTCTACCATCCCGGAATTTTTATCAATCCCTGTATTTTCTTTGATGAGAGGCGGACAGGGTCTTAATCGCTATTTAATGCATCGAATCAAGGATTTCAGTTCTTGATTATTAAAACATCTTTGTTTATGTGGTATCTATCAAGAAATTTTAAATTTTTGAAGGGCGATCATAATGCCACCAAGACATCATACGAATGCCATCACGTTGCGAACTGCTGCAATTGCGTAATTTAAGGTTTCGACACCTATTTTTTTCTAAAAAAAACTGCATGGGAAATGATGCACAAATCAAAAAAACATAGCATTGCATAACTCGTTGCATTGGGAATGCATTCTGAAACGGCAATACTCCGAAAGCACGATATATTCGTAAAATTTCCACCAGTTGGAAATTATAAGGTCTGTTTTACACAATGTGGCACCTGTGGCTGTAAAATGAAAAATTCTCAGAAAATTGATCTACAATGTTGCCACTATGAAACAACGGTATTGCGTCGCAATTTTGAAAATGTTTCACGCAAGGTCGCAAAAGTAGTTATGTTGTCTGGAACTAGAGCACTCCCATTTTTTTTTTTTTTGTATCCCAGAACTCATTTGCAGATTTTGAAAGTTTTTA